GGCCTTGAAGCAAAGTTTGGTTTGCTCACTCAGCAAGTCCATTCATCCATGGCGACCTAGGCACTGAGAGGTCATGCTGGATTCCCTTCTCAGTCAGGAAAGCTTCAAACTGCTGAGAAGTGAATTCCCCGCCTCGATCAGTAAACAAACAGCCGATACGTTTACTGTGAGCATTCTCCAACCAAGCACAGAATGCCTTGAACCTAGGAAACGCTTGCGATTTCTGCTCGAGCATAAACACATGAATGTACCTGGAAAAAGAATCAATTAGAACCATGAAGTACCTTGCTCCACCCAAAGAGGGCGCAAGTGGACCAACCAGGTCTGCGTGGACTAGCTGGTAGGGTTTGGAAGCCTGCCTGCTAGACTCCTTGCCTTTGGGAGCAACCTTCACCTTGTTCTCTGCACAAGATACACATTTCATGTGAAACTTACAGGGCTTGATGTTCAAACCCTGAACCAATCCAGGCATCTTGGCCAGCGCCTGCCAAGACATGTGACCAAATTTTCTGTGTGCCTTGTGAATACATCCTGCATGAAGAACTTTGTTAGTTTGTGCAACACAACAAGAATCAACATTAGACAAAGCAACAGCATTGTCATCATAAGTTATATATACAGAACAAACCATCTATAAACTTTGCATGCAAAATGTCCTCTTTGCCTTTCCTGATGACACAGACGCTCCTCTTGAAGGAAATCTCAAAGCCACGCCCAGTCAGCTGTGGGACACTGAGCAAATTGTCTGCAGAATCTGGAACATAAAGTACATCTTTGATGGTTGTGTGCAGACTTGCCAGTTTCACAGTCCCGACTCCTGCGATCCGCAACGTCTTTCCATCAGCCTGGTGGATCTCTCCATCTTGAGGTGTGAAGGAGATAAACAGATGCTTATCTTTTGCCAGATGGCGGGTGCATCCCGAATCTACAACAAATCTGGCTTTGGCCTTTGGAGCAGCTTTTCCAGCAAGCAAAACCTTGTCTTCCACCGGCTTTGGCTGCTGCTTGCCCCCCTGCTCCTGGCCATCAGACTTGCCTTTAGCCTTTGGTGAAGCTGTGCCAGCAAACAAAGCCTTGTTTTCCCTGGCTTGGGCTTTTCACCCCCCTTCTGCATTGGGCCATCTGCAGGGTTCTGTCTCTGTTTACTTCTGGCCTTCCGGCCTCTGCAGAGACGATGACCTTGGTTCTCATGAGAAACAGAGCTCTCAGCTGCCGACTCCTTGGCTCCCCCTGGAGGCTGGAATGCTGCCTGGGATGACATCACAGTCAGCTCCCCCTGCAGCCTGCAACCGGTGCCCTCGGCATCCCTGCATTCACTCTCATTCTGGGAAACAGCCAGGACCTCCGATGCAGTCAAACTCTGGGCTGGGATGACCGGCAGATGGGCTACCTTCAAAGCATTCCACATCTGACACGCTGTCTTATTGCCAGACAGTGTGGCAATTTCCTCCAGAGAGACGGACAAGACTATTACGTCTATGGCCCTTGAATCTTGGGCCTTCCATCTATCTGTCAGAGGAACTGGAGGGGCTTCACACACAGTATGCCACACTCCAAACTGTCGCAGCAAACTCTCACACCACACAGCCCAGGTCACATAATTGTGCCGATTTAACTTTGGGCACTCAGTGCCATCATCTGAGGCTTGTAAAAACTCCATTCCAGGCTTTTACTTGGGCCGTGAGCCTGTATGCCTTCAAAAACTTCTTATCTCGGCAGCTCATAAATCACGAAGCCTCTGGCGCGGCTCCCAGGCCAATTAATCTGCCGGAGTTCAAAGAGGCTGCTGCAGCAACAGAAAAGTCTTACTTTTCTCCACATACCTCACAGTCTCTCGCAGTCTTACTCTCCTGTAAGTGCCGTGAATCTGGGCCCGAAACCTGTTGTTGGGATACTGCCAGGGAGATATAGGCCATCATGGTTCCACGTCGCCTCCGGATGATCCATCGATCTCCCGTAGATACAGTATCAGTCAATTAGCGACACGAAGCCTCGGAAATAGCTTGCCACATTCCAGAGCTCGTGCACGCTCTATCAGGAGAGTTCGTACAGCGAAAGACGCACTCAGGAGAGCATATTTACAACTTTTATTCAGCGTTGATCAGAACAAAAAAAAAACATGACTGCCTGCTTCGATGTCTCAGGCACAGAGAGAAAATGAAAGCATATACAAAAGCATAAACTTCCTGTGAACAGGAAATACGCAGGCTGTGACACAACAACCTGCTCCCTTTTTAAGGTGGAACGGAAATATCCTAACACTCGCGTCGTCAGAAACCGCACCTCAAGGACCACATGCCGCTTCGCCAGTGGCTCTGAGCCCCAGCGTCTCATTCACTCAAACATTCGCTGGAGTGTCCCCATACACCCATTCACCTCCCCTATCCCCTTTTACCAAAACCGGCAGCACTCTACTGCTCCTACCGGAACCGGCGGCACTCTACTGCTCCTACTGGTCGGGGTTGATCAGGCCCCTTAGCTCCCACAAATTCCCTGTGGAGCTTACCTTTCCTCTGGGTACCCTCTTCCCGCGTGGCCGCTCTCTTTCTCTCGCTGCCGCAGCGTCTCCACTCAAGAACGGGGTGGTCGGTTCCTCCTACAAACTGGTAGGTTGCACGCTGGAGCCGCCAACGCCGAACCGAGCTGTTCGCCTTGCGGTGACGCCTCGGACATTTGTCCCTCGTCCTCGGGGAATGCGAATTCCCGGCCAATGCACCAGGAAATGTAGCCTTTCCATAAATATAAATATTGATTATTGCCTCATAGGAATAGAGAGTGAATTGAATGGGGAGGGGAGAGAGGGGTGGAAAGAAGAGCTAATTTGTCCATGGCTAGGGGGCACAATCTGGACGGTTCTGCCAGGGGCGCAAGATCACCTAGCTATAGCTCTGGCAGGACAGAAAAGTGTTCATGTGCTCAAGCCCTGCTTGTGGGTTTTCCACAGGGGCACCTGGCTGGCCAATGTGGGAACAGGAGGCTGGACTAGGTGGGCCACTGGCCTCATCCAGCCTCACGGCTCAATTTATGCAAAATAAAGAGGCTTGATTTGCATTCAGGTTGCACAATTCAGGTACAGAATCCTGGGCAGGTTTTAGGCATGAAATGGGCAAACACAGCATTTGCCAAAAGGAGGAAACTTTTCTGAACCTTTTTTCTCAAAGGAGCCTGGACAACAGTTTTGGCAAACGTCAGGAAGGATACTGCTGCTGGTGTCATTTTCCTCAGAGAACTGCAGCGCTGAGCACTTCCACAGAACAGGCAGAAGCTCTGCATTTCAGTTGCTGGGTTCAGTTGCCAAATGGCATTCTATGGGTAGAGGCTGGGATAAAACCGCAAGCCTGAGACCCCAAAGAGCAGCAATTGTTGCCACGCAGTGTAGGCAACGCTGGGCCGGACAGACCAAGAGCCTGAGACTTCAGCACTAACAAAGCAGCTTCCCAGTGCAGAAAAGGTCACTGCTTGACCCCTGCCGCCCCAGGGCTGGTGTGCAACCTTGCAGGCCTAGCAGATGTAGCCAATACCACCCTCAACCACTGCTGGTGCAACTATTTGTAGGAGAGGTTGTGGGGGGCGAGGTGTCGCTCATACCCACACAGACGGCCCTGCTCCACTGCCATGCGCAGGAGGGGAGGAGGCAAGGCTGCCTGAACTGGTGCAAATCAACTTCTGAGCAGAAAGAAGGGGTCTTTGGGGGCGGGGATCAGAAGCAGGTACCAGACAAGCCAAACCTGGCTCCTCTGCAGACTGCACTCCCACATTTCCCTGCATATATTGTGTCAAGGTCAGATGTTGTGCACAGTTCCTCTGGGCAATAGGCAGGGCTGGAATCTCCTGCAATCTCCAGTGTGGCTGACCACATCCGAGGCTGTCCTTGAATTCCTCTGGACACAAACACAGATGAACAGGAACTGCCCCTCACCCCCTCAGCTCTCAACAACATGCTCAAGGAGACCACCAACATCCATGTTTTGGAAAGGCCTGTCCAGCAATGTTCCAGATTACCAGCTGCTGGTGTAGCCATTCAGACCTTTCCCATTGGTTGGGTGTGCATTGCTCCCGGGAGGGAGGAAGGAGTCAATAGACACCGAGGGTTGGTTCAGAGAAAGAGTTTATTTCTGCTTTCCGGATAGCAGAAAGGCACTGCGTGATCAGTCACAGCGAGCACACTTAAAGAGCAGTTACATACAGCTTATATACCCTTCAGGTCCCCTCTCCCCCTCCCCAGGAGTCCACCCTCATGAGTTTGTACACGTAAGTTTACATCCTTGAGCATGAACAGATATTCCTGTTCCTGTACTCTTATCTTGGGGTAAGAAGGTCACCCAACTATAGGAGTACTCCTGGAGCCATCCCCGGGCGCGGGGGCTGACAGGCCTGTCTTGCAAGGTCTGTGTGTCAGCGTGGTCAGGATATAAGTCCCAGAGCCATCGCGTCTCCACTCGGAACTGACAAGGCCATCCATTAAGCCTTCATGGACTTATAAAGGAGAAGGCTTTGTTTACACAGCTGGGTTTGTGTTATACAGCTCAAGCTAATGGGTTATACAGCTCAAGCTAATGGATTTTAGCTAATGGATCCTTGAAGAAGGAATTGGGGGATTTTGGGGCCCGGTTTGGGTGGCTGCACAGTCAGGTTTGGGTAACTTGTTCCATCACTGGAAGCCACAAGAGAGGGTGGGGCTCATTGCTTATGTCCTGCTTGCCTGGGCGGCTGGTTAGCCACTATGAGAACAAGAGGCTGGAATAGATGGACCTGGTCCAGCAGCCAGGCTCTTATCACGTCCTTCTGGCAGTAGGGAGAAGGCAAAGACAATGGGGGCTCTGCTTCCAGCCCCACCCGCCAGGCAGACGAACCTATAAGCAAAGCAAGTCTCCTCCAAACACCTCATGTGGTTGAGATCTCAGGGTGGGGGGGAGGCTGAAGCACAAAGCTCTCCATGGCAGCCCCTGTTTGCTCTTCCCAGGTGTCTCGCTGCCCCATCCACACCCCTTGGCACTTACCAAGGCTGAAGAGGATGAGGAACTTCAAGCAGACAAACTCCTGCCTGTCCACCTGGAGAGAATGGAAGTGAAGCACCAGTTCCTGCGCTCTCAGCACCAAGTTGTTCAGGATGGATCCCGCCTGCATGGCAACGGTCGACATGTCCACCTGGAAGAAAGGGGAGGTGGACAGGGCTCAGGACCCCCAGAAGTACCATCTTGTCAGGGGAACAAGGAGGTTCAAGAGCTGGGCGGTGGGGGACAACCTCCATCAGAAAGACTTTTGAGCAATCAGCTGTTAAGGCTTTAAAGCAGTTAATGGACTCAGTTGTTGCCTAAATTACAATAAATATGGTTATATCTGGGTGCTGGCTTTACACAGAAGGATAAGCAATAACGACCAAAGTCTAACTAGCCAGGAATCCAACGCAGGCTGACTCACAAGTGATGTCCCTTAGCATCCCATAGGGCTTCCTCCCAAGTAAGTGTTCAGAGAACTGCAACCCAAAGTCTAAATATGTGCAATGGAGTACTTGCAGATTCTCTTCCCTACCCCCATGTTTACTCCGGCCTCTATCTCCCTCTCCCGTGGGGCAGGGGACCTGTGTCCTCTTACACTTTGTACATTCCTGGCAAATCATCGTTCTTATATACCCACAGCAATAACAGCTCTCCATGTGTGCTGTTGTTTATGTAGCCAAAACTGTCCCACCCATGCTTGGTGGTGGTGGTGGGATTTTGGGCGGAAGAATGTAGAGGGAACGCCCACACACACTCCCCAAAAACAGAAGCCCAGTGGGCAAGAAGGCTGACCAACCTTTGGGGGTGGGGGAGATGAGACAAGGGGGGTGGGCATGGGGAAAGGAAAGGAAGTGGCCATAATCCTGAGCCGCAGCAGTGGCACTTCATGCTACAACATTTTGCGGCAGTATTTCTGAAAATGGCCATTGTGGAACCTGCAAACACTAGTGCTTTTACCTCCTGGCCTGTCACCAGCAGGAAGCTGTGCTCCTTCCCATAATGCACTTGGCGGAAAATGTGGTCAAAGACCAGCAGCTCGCTCCAGCAGTTCTGCAGCAGCTTCATCTGGTCACCCACCTGGGACGAGGAGGAGGAGGAGGAAAAGAAAATAGCTGAGAAGCTTCCTCCAAAGAGGATTAATAGTTGAGATGATGATGATGATGATGATGATGATGATGATGATAATAATAATAGCATTTGTATATCATCCTTCATCCAAAAATCTCTTGGCAATTCACAACATAAAAATACAAAATGAGAACACAAAATACATTTAAAAAACCAAAAAAATAAACCAATAACCTTCCTCCTACAAACACATTTAAAAGGACATAGAATGCCTGGCTGAAGAAACACATTTTCAGCTGACCCCTAAAGATATAGAATGCAGGTGCCAGGTGAGCCTCCCTGGGGAGAGCATTCCACAAATGGGGAGCCACTGCAGAAAAGGCCCCTTCTCATGTTGCCACCTTCTGGACCTCTCAAGGAGGAGGCACATGGAGAAGGGCCTCAGAGGATGATCTTGGGGTCCAGGTTAGTTCATATGGGGAGAGGCAGTCCTTGAGGTACTGCAGTCCTGAGCCATTCAGGCTGTAGAGGCTGAAACCAGCACTTTGAATCAGGCTTAGAGACTAACTGGCAGCCAGTGCCATTGGGTCACCCTCAGTGTAACACGCTCAAATTGTCTTGTCCCAGTGAGCGCAACCTGGTCACCAAACTCTGCACTAGCTTAAGTTTCCAAACCATCTTCAGAGGCTGAACTATGCATAGACGACAGAAGTTAGGCTTTCCCTGTCCAGATAAGGACATAGCTGGCCACCAGCCAAAGCTGATGGAAGGTACTCCACACCACCAAGGCCACCTTAGCTTCAAGTGACAGCAATGGATCCAGGGCCCCAAGCTACATACCTGCTTCTTCAGAAGGACTGTGACCCCATCAAGAGCAAGAATCTGACCGGAGTTCTCCACTCATGTTCAAGCCACTTCCTAACTTGTTTCCTAAGCAGGAGAAGGAACTCCAGGGCATTTGGTGTCAATGGTCTGAGTCATTCGGATATTCCAGGGCTTTGACAAGTGTGGCATGACCTTCAGCATGCAGAGCAGATGTTCTGCCACTGAGCTGGGGCCCTTTCCAGGTCCTGCTAGGTGTTACAGATCAGTTAAACGAGAGGCAACAGGGCTATGCATCTGATGTAAGGACTCTTTTCTGACTTTATAGGCAGGGCCCCAGGACTTCAGCAAGACCTACTGAGGATGCCTGCCTACCATGCACCCTGTAATTCCCCCCTGCCCCCAGCCAGACACACTGATGGGTGCCTTGTGGCTACATACAGCCACTTTTAAAAAAAATTGTGCACAGCACCTGACCTAACACCATTCTGGGATCTTTTAAAAGCACCTAAGAACCAGAGGTGCTTAGAAGGCTGGTCCCCACAGCCAGGTAAGCCCACCTGGGCCACCAATGGAGAAGGCCACCCACCAGCAAACACATGGGCCCCACTTAAACCTGGAGCCAGCCCTGCCATAACTCCACGGGGCAAATGCAAAGTGTCCTTCAGTGGCTTCTAGGTCAATTATCACCAACCTGCTACTGTAAAAGGTTAAAGGTGTGCCAGTTGAACATATATTTAAGCCTTAATTGTCACTAATTCTTTTTTTAAAATTTTTTTAATTAAATTTTCCATTTTAACAATTCAATCAAATCACATTAAAGATTCCAAATTATACAAATACATATCATATAGTCCAAATATCCTGCCAAATTATAAATTTTTATTGGGACTTCCCATGCTTCAAGTTGGGGGGGGGGCACTGATCATCTCATATCTCTGCTGCCTTGAGTTTCCAATAGTTCCTGAATCTGCAGCCAGCCAACCCAGACCTCAGAGACTACCACTTTCTCTTTCAACCTTGCCAGGAGTCTCCTCTTCCCTCCCTGTCCTACAAGGGTGTAAGCAAAGCACTATCTCTTCCAGCCCACAGAGTGCAAACAAAGTAATACCTGTTTCAAAGTGTGTGCATGGTGCAAACAAGGAAGAAATGAACATGAACAAAGTGCAATTCCCACAGTCTCTTTTTGTCATGAGATCACCTCTTTGCACATGCAGACTGAGAGTTTGCTTTAAGGACCTTCATCTCATCCAGGAGACCTAAGCAGAGACAGCTCACACCAATCAAAACTGGAGCCCGCTGCTTGATGGTGTTAGGCAATGAACCTCGGTTCACAGCCAAAAAGAGGTATAATCCATGTGGGGGGGCTAGTGGGGAAAGGAGAAGGGCTTTTAATTGTCTTTGGAAACCTTCATAACAGCAGGATGCAATGTGGGCTAGAACTCCACTGCTTGGGACTTCCGGGTTGGCGCCTCTGGCAATGGCGGATTTCCTCCGATCGGGAGGAACCCGCTCCGTGGAAAAAAGGGTCTGATCCGCCACGGCGAGGCGGAGACCCATCAAAAACCACAGGCGGGAGAAGCCTGTGGACGTGGGATTCAGCTGGCACCTTTGCGCCCCCCCTACTCGCGGGGAACCCCGGTTTCGGGGATCCGGAGCGACGTGGGGTGAGTGGCGTGGTGCCTTGAATCGACTGCTTCTTTCACGGAGTGAAGCCGCATTGCTGTTGCTGGAGAGCACTGACTTTTTCCTGTGGACAATTGGATCTTAAATAACTGTCCGTGAGTAGAACGCAAAATTGGATTAAGAAATTTCTTTTAATTTGGCACTGAAGCGGGAAGGTCTAAACAGGAAGTCCGCCTTTCCGCTTTTGTAGATAGACTAAAGCAAAGACACGGCAAGCTAGAGTTTAGAAAATCGTTTGTAAAGGATCAATTTTCATCATTTAAAATTACTGAACCCCCCTTGGAAGCAGGAGAAGAGGGGGGAATTTTTTCTGGACTGTTTAAACCTGCAGAAGAGAGAGTTAAGAAAAGCAATTTTCCACCGTCTTGAACCTGGGAGCGGGGTGTCAGGACAGACATCCTTGGGAAGTTCATTGACTATAGACAAACGTTTTTGACAGATAGTTAAAAGAAGAGAAACATATTGATTCCATTGTTCCCCTTCGCATCTAAAAGGAACAAAATATTGACAAAATATCTGAAAAAGGAAACTTTGTTGTTAGATCTGCTTTTTTTAAAAAAAAGAAAAAAAGAAGAGATGGATACAAATAGAAGCTTTTTCCCCTAGAGGGAGCTTGTGAAACTGTTATTAAATTTGAACTGGGGAGCTTTGCAGCTGCAATAGATTAAGATCGTGGGATCAGACTTTGACCTTGCACAAGAATGTACTCGGAGGCTCTGGTGCTTGCCTTCTGCAAGACAAGTGCTCTATTGGAACAGCTACATGAGAAGACGGATTTGATGACTGTTGCGATTGGAAATTTTGGACAGGCAGTGGGTATCTATATAGAACCCACTCAGGAATTAATCCAGGAGTGTGCTCTGACAGATCAGATGAGGGAGGAGGTTGTTGCTGGACCTCGGGAGGCAGAGATGGAGGGAACTGTGGCCCAGCAGGAACATGAGTTGTTGGATCTGACGAATGAACCTGGAAAAAGCCAGATTTGGAGAGATAGAGTCTTGTTCGGTTTGGAGATGGGGGGCTGGATAGACCCCCCTATGCAGGGATGTTTTGACCTTTTAAGTCTGGCTTTGGGCCGGGAGGAGTTCAGAGTTGTGGGGGCCCTTAACTTTGGAGGGACCTTGAAACATGCTCTTAAATACCACATGGAGTACAGTGTTGACTATGGAAAAGGGGCTGATCTGTCGAGAAGGGACAAAAATATTGTTAAGCTGGAGTCTCCACGAATGAAAGGAGCAGAAGACAAAGTAAAGTACAGGTATAAATATAAAGAAGACCTGCGGAAGGGACATGGAAGAGATTTAAGGGCCTCGGACATAAGGTTACCGGGTTGATGAACTAGATGGATGGGATAGAAAGGACTGACAAAACCCGAGACCAGGAGGAAGAGACGTTGGAAGAAGATTGGAAGAAAGTTTTTAAAAAATTATTTAGGAAAATTTTCGTAAAATTAATGAGTATTAGAAAAATGTTGGAACGAAATTATTTGTCTTTAGCAGAAATGTTAAAAAGAATTATGTAAGAATATGTTATGGTTATGAGAAATTGGTATAAATAAGATTTAAGTTTTAAGTTTTAAGGTTTTTTATGGTAAGATAAGGTTAAAATAGATCAAGGTAATTTAATGACAGAATATTATGAAAGATGGAAAGGATTTGCTGAGATAATTAATAACTAGAATACAAAAAAGGGAGGTGTGAGGAGGTCGATGAAATAAGGTAATGACAGTTAAGGATTTGAGAATACTGGATCTGTTTTTAATTTTTTTTGTTTATTTTTGCTTTTTGATTTTGATGTATTATGTGCTTTGCTTTTGCTTTTTGCTTTTGAATTGTTATTTGTTTTTTCCTTCTTTTTTCTCTTTGTTTTTTTTGGTAATCTTAAAATTTTCAATAAATATTATTTTTTTTAAAAAAAGAACTCCACTGCTTGAAGCTGACAATTAACTCCTTGGTAGTTACAGAAAGTATCTTTTCTGGCATCAAAGCTTTCCAAGAGGAATTAGGCTGGGGGGGTGAGAGACACCTACAAGCCCATGTCACTCTGACCGATGACCTTTGGTGCAGAATGTTGATTTAAAGCAGAGTCTGTTTGCCCAGCGGAAGGATGAGGAGTACGTGCTACATACTCTATATTGCTTTATTTACAGTTCAAAGCTGGTATATTACAGAAAGACATCTTGCCTCTGCCGGAGCAGAGAAATGCATCCTCTCTCCTCGACAGCTCGGAGAGAATCACACAGTGAAAAACAGGAAACCAGTGTACGTCACATCCAGTCTCCCTTTCCCGTGAGAAACTCCAACAGTACAGACTGTGGAATGTAAACACCTGTCTCGTGACAAGCAGAGCTGCACAGTGAAGGAAAGCAGAAACTAACATCCTCCCCTTTCTGTGAACATCACTGGGCAGCGTGTTTGCACAATATCAGTACAAACCCAACTTCTGCACATAGGTACAGTGTTGATCCCTTGATACAATCTTGGACAATA